CAGAATAGATGAACAAGATTACACTGTATAGCACAGGGAAATATACACAAAATGTTATGATAACTCACAGAAAAAAAAATGTGACAATGAGTGTGTATATGTCCATGAATGACTGAAAAATTGTGCTGAACACTGGAATTTGACACAACATTGTAAAATGATTATAAATCAATAAAAAATGTTTAAAAAATAAAATAAAGTTTATAGAACAATGCCTGATCCAGAAATTCCACTCCTGGCTATATAACTGAAGAAAATGAAACATGAATTCAAAAAGATACATGCAATCAAATGGTCACAACAGCATGATTTACAATAGATATGGAAGCAACCTAAGTGTCCAACAACAGGTGATTGCATAAAGAAGATGTGGGGTGTGTGTGTGTGTGTTTGTGTATAACACACAATGGAATACTACTCAGCCATAAAAAGAATGAAATTTTGCCATTTTCAACAACATGGATTGACCTGGAGGATATTATGCTTAGGGAAATAAGTCAGACAGAGAAAGACAAATATTACATGGTATCACTTACATGTGGAAGCTAAAAAACAGAACAAATGAATGAAAAAAACAATGTGTGGAAAATTATAAAAGCTCAAAGAATGTTCCTTGTTGTTGCTAATACCCATTCTCCTCCTCTTCTTCCTACTATTATTATCCCGGAGCCTCGTGGAGAAGATATAAACAATTCTGTAGCAATATGTCCAGAATTCAGTGTACAAGGCAACACAGTTAAAAATAAACATACCTTCTGGAAGCTAAGCTCATAATTAAAAGTCTATCATGAAGGAGAATTAGCAGACCAAAAAATGAGATTAGCAATCTCAAGAATTGACGATAATAAAAATTATGACAGAAATTGTAAAATATATAACTAAAATGTTAAAGAATATGTTAGTTAAAATAGATGGTGAAAAGGAAGACTAAAAAGAAAATAACCCACTTGAATTTATAGACATTTAAAGAGATTAATAACAGTTAAGATTAAAAACTTAATGGATAGGTTTTATAGCAGATTAGACACAGCTGAAGAGAAAATTAATAAACCAGAAATACCTCTGAAGAAATCATACAAAATTTAGTGCAAAGATAGAACATGTTGGAAAAATAATGAAGGGAATTAAAGACATGAAAGACAGAATAAGGGTGTCCAGCACATACCTAACAGGTACATTATAATCAGGAAAAGAAAAGAAATAAGTAAGAGGAATATTCAAAATGCAGGAGATTTTTGCAGAATTAAAGACATAACTCCTTGGATTAGAAAAATCAGTGTGTCCTGTGCAGAGTTAAAAACAAACTATTTTAGTTCCAACGACTGTTTCACAGTGACCTGCCAGGAGATGGGAAAGAAAGAGAGAGAAGAAAGGGAAATATTAAAAGAAAACAATAAAATAGAAAAGCCAGATGGTCAATCCAGGATCAACAGGCAAAAGATGTCAGAAAACCATGATATAATGCCCTCGAAGAGCTGAGAGAAAATTCTATACCCAGCTAAATGTGCATGAAATAGAGATAACTCCAGAAAGAATTATCTTATACAGCCAGGCCGAAAGAACACTAAAGGATGTACTTCAGTAAAAAAATAAATAAATAAAACAGTAGTTTTAAAAAAGTAAATTGAACTCAGACAGGGCCGAGTACCAGAAGGGTTTGGCAAATAAGTTGCCAAAACTAAGTATTCATTGACTGTAAATAATTTTGTGGAAGAGGAAGCAGAACTTCCCATCAACCTACACATTTCTTCAGTCTCTGATGATGGAAACTTAAGAGATTTCTATGATTTTATGGAGCTTTAATTGCTAGTTAAAAACACAGACGTGGCATAGGAGTGATAATGGTAGGGTTTTTACATGTGTACTATGCCATT